CCCCGACAGAACCTGTCCCTCTCTCCTGGTGTCACCCCCCCTGACAGAACCTGTCCGTCTCTCCTGGTTTGCAGGCTGTGCAGTTTCTTTTATCACAAATACACATTTATTTTCTGTTGAACCATGGTTAGTAGAAGCTAATTGGCAGTGCAGAAAAACATGCAGAAGAGAAAATACATCTGCCTGGAATTCACAATATTCAGAAACCGATGAGGAAGATGCACGGGTCTCTCGTGCAGCGGACAGTTACAATCACAGATTCCGCAGACAATTTTTAACTGACAATGGTGACCGCTGTGTCCTCATGACTTCACTTTTGCTACCCCTCCTGGTTAGGTGACAGAGACAGGAGCAGGGTAGGTATTTTCAAAGGTTTGCTTCAGAGCTGAGTGGAGAAGGGCACTCTCCTGGCTCCTGCACGTCTGAGGACAGCCTGGGGGCCGCAGGGGGAGGGTGGGACGCCAGGGAGTCCTCCCCTTTGTCTCACGGGTGCCAACTCTGGGAGTGTGGAGGGAGAGCAGGGGCATGGGGCCTCTCCCTCCAAGAGCCCGGGGTGCTCCAGGTAGGACAGGCAGGGTGCCACAGCAGCCTCGATTTCCTTCATGGAACCCACAGGCGTGTCCAAGAGTTTGGGACACATGCCGTGATGTCCCTTGGAGTGAAGGGACCACTCCTGTGAAGGAGCTCACCTCCAGGGCCAAGATGGACGCCATGGGCCCCGCGGCTCCAGCCACTCTGGCCAGGTCTGAGGAGGGCTGTGGTGAGTCGGTGCTGGTGCATGGACGAGGTGGCCCGGCATGGACAAGGTCGCCTGGCGTGGGCGAGGTGGCCGGCAGTGACGGGGCCTGCTCCCTGCGAGGTTGGTGGTGCCTGGGCTGGGCGGAGGCAATTCTCGTGCTCGGGTCCAGTTTCTGGTTGCTCTGACGCAGCTTGGCCCTTTTCTCAAGGCCAACCCGGGACCAGGAGGCAGCGTCCGGCGCCCAGCACCTGTCCTCAGTGTCCCTCGTCCCCACAGACTGCAGCAGGGCCTGGGCGAGCCTCTGCCTGTCGCACAGTGTGGGGACCCATGGACCCCAACCCACCTGTCCCTCCGTCCTGACCCAGCGCCCTCAGCTCCAGCGCTGGGGTCCTCTGGAGTCACGTTCATTCTGCGTGACTTGGCTGTGACTGTGGGGACCGGGCTGCCCACGGACAGAAGAGGAACGCGGCCTCGGACTAGGAGACGCAGCCCGGGGTGGAGCTGTGCTGGGGCCAGGGAGGCTGAAGAGGGCAGGAGCACGAGGGGTGAGGGTACAGGGTCCTCTGGGTCTCAGGCTTCGGGACCTGGGGAGCCGCCCTGTTCAGTGACCAGCTGTCCTCGGCTTCTTCAAGGGCTTTTGGGGTTGTGGTGGGGCTGTGATTGGGTGATTCCACACTTTGCACATTCAGAGTTGTTTTCAAACATTTCCCGCATGTTAGTTCTGCCTTTCACACGTGGTCCAGCCAGGTTCAGCGAGGACATAGGGCTGGGCTTGTGCGCCCCCCGCCCTCCCCAGGCTGGCAAGGTGACGTCCTGAAGCAGTCACGAAGCCTGAGATCCATTATTCCTCCGTCTTTATTGACAAGCACCATGAACTTCCAGGACCTGTCATGGAAGCTGCCTGCCAGGACCCCGTCTTCAGGTTGGGGCTTCCCTGCCAAGGGGCCTTGGAGACCCCCCAGGTCTCAGCGGACTATGCTGGCTGGGAGCTCAGGTCCTGGGGCTCCTGCTGTGCTCAGGTTGGGGGAGTCTTCCATGGGGCGGTGGCTGCAGCAGGTGCACTCTTGGGAGTGGGGAGGTGGGTGGTGCTCACGCGTGCCATGGCGGTGAGGGAGAGACCTCGCTGTCCTGTACTGTGAGCCTGGCCCTGGCCGGAGCCTGACTGTGGCCATGGACAAACAGGCTCCGAAGCGTTTCTCTGAGACCGCCGCAGGCTCCTCCGCAGGTGGGCTCCAGACCCACGGCCCAGCAGGTCACACGAGAGGCTGTGGCTGTGTGCGTGCCAAGGAACAGTGGCAGTGGGGCCATTGTGACAGTGGGTGGCCATGCCTGTCAGCCGCCCCAGGAGGGGGCAGGAGCACCGGGTTCTCCCCAGGTGCAGATGGGCAAGGGTAGGCAGCCTGGGTGTGTCCTGGCAATGCGGAGGGTCCTGGACAGGCTCTGCTGGGCCGCCCACTAGCAGAGAAGCCCCCACAGATGCTGCAGGTCTGGGGGTCCTCCCTGCTGTCCTGCTCTCTGAGAGGAGGGGCTGGGAGAGGTCAGGCAGGGCCATTTAGGGAGAGTTGAAGGAGGTGCTTGGGCTGTGGGTAGGAGGTCTGTGAGCAAGCAGGGTGCAGCTAGTGAGGACAAGGCCGGGCGAGTGGGAGGCCCTGCCATGTGTGAGGTGAGGAGTGCCTCCTGCCTGGTGACACCACGGGGATCAGACACTCCGAATCTTCCCAGACCCACTCTGAGAACGACAGGCAGCTACTGCGTCTTCTCCGGAAAGCAGAGGGAGCCGACTCCAGCCTCGCACTCTGGGGCACTGTGGTCAGCTGGGAAGCCATCCTCTGTTCCCCACAGCCTTCCTTTCACCAAGGCTGCCGTGGGCACAGCGCTGGCTCGTAGGCACGTGTGCACACGTGTGTCCGTGTGGCCAGCCTTCCCACACCTGCACCAGGCGCCCGGTTCGTCTGCCTGGTGGGCCGAGTCTCCCCTCCGCCCAGGAAAGCAGGCAGGCCCTGTGGTGTCCGCTGCACACAGGATGGGCCTCGGCCCCACAGACACCTCCCGCGTCTGGGGTGGGGCCCACTCTTGTTAGCTGCCTGCTGGGTGGTGTTAGTGCCTGCTGCCCTCAGAGCTCCTAGAAGGGGTGTGCTGTTGCCTCCTGTTGCCATGATAGCCCACTCCTTTAAAACACCCCTTTGACCTGCAAAACACGTGCGCAACGTGGCGTGATCCGGGAGACATGTTGGAAACAGCTGTCCTCTTCCCAGCTGAGGACGAGACGGTGCATTAGGAGAGTCAGTGAACTGGGGCCCAAACCCGGTTTGAGAGGGTAGTGCTGGGGGCATCTGGCAGGAGGAGGGGCAGGAGGGAGGCCTGGGCCTGGCCTCCCCACAGCCCCTGCTGGGGCACTGGTGTGAGTTCTGCCCGAGTGAGCACAGGAATGTAATGAAGTGTGAGGTGACAAAGTCCCTGCTCCGGGGACACCCGCAGTGCCTCGGGCATCGGGGGCCTACTTGCCCCCTTGCACCTTCTGGTCGTAGGTGCCCGCGTGCTTGTATCCAGACACGTAGCCCGACTCATCCACCAGGTCCACGCGGCCGGCCTTGCCCTTGCCCTTGCCAGAGGGGTCGAAGCGCTCCTTGTGGGAGCCCGTGAACTTGGTGGTGTCTGTAAGCCTTGACACGGTGGGCGACGAGATGGCTTTCTGCAAGAGGAGTGGGAGAGAGGGGGGCAGGTGAGTTGCCAGCCAGGTGAGGCGGCTGCGCCCTAAGCAGGTCTGCCGGCGGTGGGGTGGTGGGCAAGGGGCATAAACCCTGTGATCTATGCCCTTTAAATTTTCATTTTTATTTTTACTTCACCTGGCCCTGGGGCAGCCTTGGGCCTGTGAGATGCCACAACCCTAAGAAGTGCCCAGCTCCACCTGGTGTTTATGCAGTTGAGGACCCTATGGCCTGCACCCTCAGAAGGGAGGAACGGGCTGTCAGGAGAGCCAGGCCCCACCCTCCAGGCTATGCCCCAAATCCTTGCCCCTCCTGACCACTCCCACCCAGGTCACGCCCTTCTGACCACGCCCCAACCCCTGCCCCTCCTGGCCACGCCTCCATAGGCACCGCCCACATACAAGACCACACCCCAATCCAGGTCCCCTCCTGACCATGCCCAAGGCACCAGCCTCCCGCCACGCCCCCAGCCCCCTTCCTGACCACACCCAAGGCACCGCCCACCCGCCACGCCCCCAGCCCCCTTCCTGACCACACCCAAGGCACTGCCCTCA